TATCAATATTAAACATTACATAGAGTTTTATATTTCCCTACATAGAAATTATAAACTGAAGATAACTATTATTTAAACCTGATATTATGTTGTATGCATCATTGTGAATCCATTGGCCTCCTAAATAAGATTAATTCTTTCGCAAAAAAAGTTATAATTACTTTTCCTCAAATGTTATAATGATAACGACATGAGTGTGATTTTACTTTTAAGACTATTCTTTCCAATAGGTAGAAAACGAATAATTAAGGAATAGAAGAATGATGAGTGTGCGATTATATTCTTAATATTAGTAGAATGAAATATCCATAGGAAACACTCAAGAGAATTTTATTTCATATTATCTAGCAAAAAAAGATGGTATTTTTTTAAAGTTTCTATGCATAGTATGATGTTGGCTTCATAGAAACATATGGGTAATACTTGTTAGCATCAAAGAAAAACTTTGATTATGTAATCACTTCATATGATGAAATTCATTTTTGTTATGGAGGAGAGAAAAATTGTGAACTTGCTGTTTTACTTTATTACTTTCTTTAATAGAGAACAAAAGTCTATGTCAATTGTGATCACAGTAGAACAAAAGAAATGAATTGAATATCAACATAAAACAAAGCTAAAGACAATATTTACTTTTTATTCATTACGATTTGTTAAATATTTTACTGAAATGTATCGTGTTAAATGATTTTGATTTTCAAGATAAGAGACTAATCGATTTTAATGAAGAACAAATTAGAAATCATTCATAAAGGTTTCTTCTTAAGATTAGTAATTAAGGTATTTCATATGAACTAGATCTACCTACCTTTTCTTATGATAATTTTTATATGTAGATATTTCTAAAATTTATTCTTCATACAGTTAGACTATTGAGAAATATAATATGATGTATTGTATTCAGTTTTGTTATGAACGAACAAACAAAGTATGTTTTCAGACATCGAGTAGTTTTAAATATTAAAAAAAAAATGACTCTGAAAAAAGTTAGCGTTCATTAACATTGCATAGAATGTTTCGATGATATTTGAAAGCAAAGATTTTTATCATAAATAACTATGAAAACAAACATTTTTGTCTCAAATTAATGAAATAAATAATCTATGATAAAAATTCGACTATTTTTCATTTTGAACTAAACAATAGAAAAACATTTGATAATTTGTTTTCTTTCTCACAGTATTGTGTCTAATCATGCATTAAAGACCGAAGCCAAGGTTTTGAACGAAGAGGACTCAGACTTCGTATGAACCTTTGAATCTTTCTGACGAGATTTTTGAAGAAAAAAAAAAGACACAGTTTCCAACTAGGGAGAGAATAGACTAACTGTAAACTCTATGGTTTCGTGATTGGACGTCAAGAATATTAACTATTGATGAAGTGTTTAACAATATCACTAACATGTCTTCGATTATAAATCTAACGGATGCACTTTACTTTTGATAGAATGTGTTTTTATAAATCGAAGAATGAATCAATAAAAAATTATGTCATACTTCATGTTGCTTTACATCTAATATCAAAAACAAGATAAACTATCTATATATCAATTAAACAATCATAATTACATACGATCTTCTTTTATTATAATCGTTAAAAATTTATCCTTCAATAAACGACTTTACTATTTGTTTAGAGATATAAGAAAAAAGTTGTTTAAATTTATTTTGGGCACGAGAATAATACTTTACGCAACAACAAAAAAAATCATGAATATATCGTTATTGAGAAAAAGAAAATCTAAGAAAGAATTTATTCATATCTTGTTCATCACGCAATCTATATGATTATGTTAGATAGATTTGTCTTACTATTTATTTATTCTTCGCTGTCATCATTTTCTGACAGATGGTAAATGTAATATGAGAATAATAATAATAATAATAATAATAATAATAGTAATTAACAGACAATGTTATACCTGCTGAATATCGAGTTATTTGTTCAATAATTCATAAGATCAATTTCCGATGGGAAAAAACTAATTGCTTTTAGTCGATCTTATGAATAATATACATAAGAGTAAAGTTCTTTTCTTTTCTTCAATCTCTGATATAATCAATGTGCATTTCACTTTTTGTCTTACTAAGTATAATTGATTAGTGTATATTTATATATTGACTAAAATTATAATCTTATAACAGTTGATAAGATGTCACTAAAACTACAAACCATTTTTTTTTGTCTTTTTTTAGACACTCCCTGCTTATAATGCTTCACTTGAGCAATTAGAAAATGAGTTTACCATGAGTAGTCAACAGAAACCTATAGTTTTAACTGGAAGACACAATAGATTTTCAATTATTTTTATTGAAAAAGTATATAGATTATATTCTAAAAATAGTTTTCTTTTTTTTTGTTCATTTTTTTATATGAGTATTGAAGCGAATAACCGCATTGATAGTTGACGATGCTTGCTGGTAACATCTTCAATTATTTACTCTGTATGCGTTGTTTCCGTCGACCGGCATTCCATATTGAAGGATTCTCCGCCTGTTTCATATGTTCATATAAGTCAAACCTTCTCTTTCGTTTAATTACCACCTCAAGAGGGAAGTCGACAAAAAGCGAATGAGAAAAAAAGAAAATGAGCATCAACTTGTGTGCACAACAGTATAGTAAGCATTTTCAAGGTATCATATCAGTTTCATTCTATAGACAATACTATTTCTTTTCTACTTGAGTGGACACTTATCATGTCATTCTAAGACCAATTCAATCTGACTTTTTTTTCTCGCTAACTTAAAAAGATCTATAGAATCAGTACTAGTGATAAAGCACATACACACACATGAATTTATCGAAGCACAATGGATGAAATATATGTAGAACGAGACCGAATACGCGACTAAAAAAGGGAAAACGACGAATTAAATTAACACATTGCACATGTTTAATCAAACGTGAATCATTACGAGAATGGATAGATGAAGCGACGATGACGATAATAATGAAGAATTGCATAAAAAATAGCTCCATTCACATTACTGTTGCTTTCTCATTTCGATTGTCCATTTCTCGCGTGACGTCCAGACACCTATGCCTGATTGAAATAGAAACAGGTTGTGTGTGTGAACAGGTTCGATTCTAATCCGTCGGGACACATTAGATGAAGCCAAACCAATGTATACATATATATATATATATATAGATATCTAGATGTGTGTGTGTGCACAATGACAGATGTTGTTCACACGAACTCTACCGACATAAAAAAGACAAGACAGCGATCGATATTAAACAACTCGTTGTCTTCTGTCTTATTTTCAAGGTTAGAAAGTAATTAAAAAAATATGCTTCTATCGTTAATAAGCGATAATTTGTCAGTAAATATATTACACCAGCTTAAGACTGTCTTTGCATGTATTCTATTTAATGTCAGTTTTTCTTCTCAATGGCTCATATAGAATAGAAGATTTTTCTTTTTCATCAACAGGGATCATCGATCAGATCGACGACAAACATATATACAATAGACATGTTTTAAATTGATTCTTCTAACTTCATTTAGAAAGGACTGTCCGTGCGTGTACATATATACATGATCTGATGACATGCTGTGTCTGATGAGTACGATGATGATGATGACGTAAGCATTGAAAGCGGCTGTTTCTGCTATTCTGATATCGATATTCAAGAATGTACAAACAGTGACGGCTGTTCTGTATCTATATCTAAAACATGAATACACATTCATCCAGATGTTTAGTGTGTTCTATTGAACTTCCTGAAAAGTTCGTTCTTATAATGTCTCCGCCCTTCTCTTTTTTTTTGTTTGTCAATTTCTTTTTTCTCGTTAAGTCCATTTGAGTTGGATAGTATTCTTTTCCCGTCTGTGCGCGTTCTCATTAGCTCGTCCTCAACGCCATCACTATTTGCATTTAGTTTCCGTTGTAGTCGCCGCCGTCGTCATACATATACATATATATACATACATACATATATATATACATACTACAAATTGGAATCGTGTGTGTCGACAAGACATAAGAGAAAAAGAAACTTTGAAAATCAATTACTCATACGAAAAGAAATAGAATGCTGATCCCAACCAAGTCAAATAAAACATGATGTTAAATTGTCCGTGAACGCGTCTTCTTACTTTCAATATATTGTTAAATGTATAGAATCTTGTAAGATACTTATCATGGAACACAAGAAAAAATATTCAGCAAGCCTCATTAATCATTCTATTGAAAACAGAACAGACATATTTAAAAAAAAAAACGTAAATTTCTTTTCTTTTAATGAAGTCATCAAACGTGCAATATATGTTTATCTTTATAGATATATCATTGAATCGATCATCATTTGACATCTAATGTTCGCGTGCCCCTAACGAGCCTTTCAAAGTGTGTGAGTGAGCAAGGCGGATCATTTGCAATATGTGTGTATATAAATCTACTTAAGATATGAGGCAAAATGTGATGAATGACAGAAGGTGAATGGATGGGTGACCGTTGGTCTATGATGCTGTCACTCAAAAAAAAGGCCTATGAAGAAAAGAAGAAGAAAATGTTTCTCTTTGTTTCCCTTTCGCTCGCGCTGTCTCTCTCTCTCTCTCTCTCTCTCTCTTACACTGTCAGAAGAAAAAGAAAGAAAGAGAAAAGCAAAAGTTATCCTCTCCACTTGAAACAAATCAACTTGATTTCTTCTCTCATTTTTTTCTCTCCTTCTTACTATACATACCCCAAAAAGAAAGTCGACTCATAGTGCCGAAAAGAACTTCCGTTTTTGATGCTGTCCACTACTACTATTCTTCGTTTCTCTTTTTTTGAAGAATTCAATGATATGTGGGTTTATACGAAGCAACCATAAAAAGTATAACGTTCAATTATAATTTTTATTTAATCTATTATCCAATCAATCGTCGATGCCTATCGAATGTTGTCTATTGTCGTTATCATTTATATTTTATTAATTCAACAACCTTATCACACTAATCAATTAGAGACAATTCAAATAGCTTTAGCTAGTACTGTCGAATTACCGTGTACAGTCGGTCAAAATAGCGAACCGGCAAATCCTGCAAAGGTAAGTGCTGGGAGGGACAAGTGTTTATATGTTTGAGTACAGTTTGTTATTGTTGGTATGGTATTGTATTGTATTGTTCAAAGAAAAAGAAAGAAAGAGTGAAAGCAGTTTCCAGGGGGTACACAATAACGATGACATCATGAGCAATACACAGCTGGTGAACGTATATACATATTCATTAATAGTCACTCAGCACGAAATTTTCTCTCGGTTTTTTTTTATCTTTAATTCATTTCTTTTTTTTTTTCTACTATTGTTTAGATCATCTGGATTCGTGATGATCGAGCAGATATTGTCAGTCTTGATTCAGTTATAACAGTAAGAGATCGTCGTTTAAGTATTCTTACAATGGATAGTATTGATCGTGAAGAACGTATTTTACGTATAACTAATGTTGAAGAACAAGATCAAGGTTTATATCGTTGTGTACGTGGTGATATTACATTAAATGAAATACTTCTTGATGTACTCAGTAAGTATATTCTCTTGTTTTCTTAAATCAATAGAAAAACTTATCTATCTATATGTATATGTATGAAAACCTTCAATGCGCACATGTATGTTTGTGTTTTATCATATCATTGTTTTGATCATCACTCGGGTTCATTTTGACAATGCAAACATATGTCCGAGGTGTGTGTGTGTGTGTATGCCTATGTTGACTGACCTTCTCTCGTTTTGGGTGTTGTTGATATGTATGCATACACAAACACACACACACACACACACACATATGAAGAGACAAAAACAATCCGCCTCATGCATTTACATTTGGATCTTTTTTATGTTTGTGTGTCGTCCCTCCTTCTTAGGTATACAATAGGGGGTGTTATCAGACATACCTATAAATATAGGAAAAGATACAATTTGACATTATGACATCAAGTAGTACCTTTTCGAAGATGTGCGATATCCGGACTATGAAACAAAAAAAGGACTTTTAGATTTATAACTTCCGTTTAGTGATGACTATGTCTATTTTGTCAAATAAAAATCTCTAGGAAGTCATTTAAATAGTGTCAGACATACTACTAATAACCTTCACTTCAATTACATTGAAATAAATGGTACAGTTTGCCTTGAAGGTGTACAAATTAGTTTTTTTGTGTGTCGACTATTCATTGTTCTGTTTGTTATTAGTAATCTGTCTTCTGGCTGATTGTCCACTCCATTGAATCTATTCTTTTATATTCTTTTTTTCTTTAATATATGTATATATATATATATACGTGCATTTGTGTTCTTATTTCGATGTCAATGAGCGTGATAGGAAGGGCTACCCATATTATAAGAACGTACAAAAGCAGCAGCTGTGTATAAGCTAATTGTTTTTCAAGTATGATATCCACACCTTAAACATAAAAAACAAAGACAAGAAAATGATCATTTGATGAAGCATTAAATGAAAAAGTCTATTAGATCGTGCTCTAGACAACAATAAACGTAACAAAGAAATTAATGTGATCGACGAGTTAAATAGAAAATGAATATATGTGTGTTTGATCACAATACATATGTGCATTCGATAATGATGTTGATGAGTCAACATTAATTGTAAGTCACGTCCATCACATTAGTTTATCGATGAACACTATTTTGAGAGAAGATTTTTATCGAACACGTTCTATGTTTTTCTTTTAAGTATCTATTTATGTTTTCTTTTAGTACCACCAAGAATCATTTCTCATTCACCGGAACATATGCGTATGACAGTTCGTGAAGGTCGAAATGCTCGATTTTCTTGTACAGCATCCGGACGACCAGTACCCGTTATTCTTTGGCATGTCAATGGTCTATCGAGGCCAGCGACAGTTACAACAAGTATGTCATAGTTTAAAGAAAAGAAAATTGACATCCTGTCACACATACATCTTTATATATTTAGTTACGGGTAAAAATGAGAGCATTCTCATCTTACGTAATGTTTCACGGTTTGATTCGGGTCGAGTCGATTGTTCAGCAAGTAATACATTGAGTACTGTCAATCGACAATTTCTTCTTCATGTTAAATGTATGTTCAAGTTTTCTTTTTCTTTTTTTCTTTTTCTTTTACATCCTGAATATATGTGATTTAGATAAACCGACAGTTACAGTTCCGTTTCATTTATCTTATTTCCGTTTATATGATTCAGCAACAATTACGTGTCGTGCTTGTTCAATACCATCACCGATATTGTTCGATTTTTTTCGTCCAAAACAAGCAACTCCTATAATGAATGGTGTTAAAGATAAATTTGACGAATTTGTTAATCAAACATGTCGACAATTAACAATAACTTTATATGTAAGATTTGAATTTATTTTGAATTAAATAAATATATAATTTAAAAAAAAAAAATTTATTTCTGTTATATATTATTAGTTAAGTGATTCATCATTCTTTGGAGCATATGTATGTCGTGCTAGAAACTCAATTGGAGTTTCTCATGCAGAATTTATTCTTAAAGGTTATTTTGAATAATTTACTTTTTTATTTATAATTTTTTTTGTAATTAATGATTGATTTTAGAATTAGTTCAATCAACTAAACATATGAAATATATAACAGAAAGTCGTCCTTCAACAACATCATCATTGGTTATTACAACTGTATCTTCTGCAATAATAAATACTGATGATGATGATCATGGTGATGAATCATGTAAGTTTATATTGAAGTAAAAATTTCAATTGAAAATTTCTTTTTTGTTTTAATGTTCAATAGCTAAACGTCATATTGAATCTTTATATAAATCATCAAATACAATTGCAACAGGAGTAATAACTCATAAAAATCAAGCATGTCAATTGTCAATATCGTTTTTATTATTAAAACTAGTTTTGTTTATTATTAGTCAATGTTGATAAGTTTTATTTTATTTTGTTCACGTCTTATTTTTTACAGTGATAAAATAAATACATAGATCTGTTTTGGGAGAACAAAGAAGAAAATTTGTCAAGGTCGATTAATATTATTATTCTTTTTTTTTGGACTAATGTTAAATTGAGCATTTTATATGATAATTGATTAATATCGATATTTACTACCAATTGAATTGTTTTGATTAAATAAAGACTCATGTTGAGAACTATGTAGATAATTAAATGTTTGGATATTGATTGAATAAATTTGATGGAGTTCTCGTTCAATCTTATTAGAAATATTAACTTCAAGCTCAGACGAATCAATCATATCTTGAGTTCAAATTTCGTTATCTAGTCTTATTTAATCAAATAAACGAAGATATTAGCTATAGAATATTTCTATAGAAAGTGTTGTTAGTTAGAATAGACAAAATCGAGAACAAGACATATTGACTTCAGTTTATGTTCTTAGTGAAACTTCAAGAAAAACAGTAGATAGATTGCAGTCAATTATCTTAAATTGATTAACTTCAATAATAAACTAGTTGAATTTTCTGGTAAAAAATTTGTTTTTCTAAGTTTAAATCGAACTTAGCTCAAAAATGGTTTAGTCTCTCTAATGAAAAAATGTATCATTTTAAAAGAATTAATCTCAAGAGTGAACAAACATGTTTTGAATTTACTATATATAATTATTGATGAATCGAACATATTAGTTGAATATTTTATTTAAATCAATTAAATAATCAATGATAAAATATTATATCACTCTTACACAAGTCAACATTTTCATTCTAATAATAATTTAACCTTTTATACGTTTACTTGACAAGTCATAATAACTTTATATTACATCAGAAAGAATTTCGTCAGAAAATATAATGTCATTAAGAAGCAAACACACATTCAGAAGTTTTGTTCTTAATGAGATTATCTTTTTTCGTCGTTCTGGCGGGATCAAACACTACATTTTCTCTCTAAAATAGATCCTTATACAGAAGTTGGACCTTTTTTACTGATGAAAAAAAATATCAATTATCATATTGTTATACTCTATTCAATATAGTAGACTAGTACTACACTTATGTCACATGAAACATCTGTTATAGTAACATCAAACTTTTATGAAACATGACTACGATTAGTTTTTACAGAAATACTGATTTATGGCGACATCTTGATTTTATGATGAAGAAATAAATTTTAATAATAAATAGATTTTCGATTGAAATAAATAAAATAATAAAAGAATTCATTGATTATAAAGTTTATTTTAATAATTTTATTATAGCGAATAGGAAATCCGAAGAGAGAGAGTTTCGTTTAAATTTTTATAAAAGTTCGATTACATTAAATTAAACTAAATTTTCCCATGCCAACTATTGTTCTTGATCCACCATCTAAAAACAAAACCGAAGAAAATCAAACATCAGCATCATCATCATCATCGGGTGATAATAACGACGACGAAGATCAAGTGACATCGGCTATTCGTAAAACTGGTTGTTATCAATTTCACGAAAAGTTACAAGAATGTTATATTGAAAAAAAAGATTGGCGAAATTGTACGACAGAAATGCAAGAATTTCGTCGTTGTATGCAAAAAATTCAACGTAGTACTGCTTCTTCATCATCCTCATCCAAACAATAAATAAAATGTCTTCTGTTCGTGTTCGTTTTGCTCCTTCACCTACTGGACAACTTCATTTTGGTGGTCTTCGTACAGCTTTATATAATTATTTATTTGCAAAATCATTTAATGGAAAATTTCTTTTACGTATTGAAGATACAGATCGAGAACGTATTGTACCTGGTTCTATGGAACAAATACAATCCATACTTAAATGGACACGTTTACAACCAGATGAACCACCTATTACACAATCTGAACGTGTTGAAATATATCGAAAATATTTAAATAAATTATTTGGCAAATTAAATCATCAAAATCAACCACATATTTATCGATGTTTTTGTTCCGTTGATCGATTAATGCTTTTAAGACATGAATGTAAACGACGTTCACAACCATATAGATACGATGGACGATGTAAACAATTAACAGAAAAACAACAAAGTATGACTCACTTTTCTATTGAATATTTTCTATAGAAACAATTGCTTTTCAAAGATTTTATTATTGACAATAATGATATATAAAAATCTTCTTCGAATGAATATAATGCAAAGCTAAAAAGACTCAAGTAAAAAATATCTCATTGTTACTATTAATAAATTTTCAGTCAATATATATTTATTTAACATGAATAGCTTTTTAAACTGTAAAGTTCAGGTATTGAAAATTTGATAGATGCCTCCTAATACGTTAGACACGTTAAAACAGACAAATTTAGCTATCTTTTCTTAGTTTTTCCTATACCATAGATTCATAATAATAGAATTTTAACTAAAAATCTTATGATATTAAATGTATATATACTATATTGATGAAAATTTTCTAATTCATCTCGTACACTTAAAATGATATATTATTATTTTTCTTTAGATGAATATCTTCAACAAGGTCTTTCACATGTAATTCGTTTTTCTTTACCAACTGATAATCAAGGAATTCAAGTTTATGACGATCTTATTTATGGTCATCATGAACATAATCCTTATGTAACTGAAGGTGATTTTATTCTTCTTAAATCAGATGGTTATCCAACATATCATTTAGCAAATGTTATTGATGATCATTTAATGAATATAAGTCATGTTTTACGTGGTCATGAATGGCAAACATCAACATCAAAACATTTACTTCTTTATAAAGCATTTAATTGGCCATCACCTATTTATGGTCATTTACCATTACTTGAACGTGAACGTGGAAGAAAATTATCTAAACGTGATAAAGAAAATGCTATTAATCCAATTGAAATTGATTTTTATCGTCAAAAAGGTTATTATCCAAATGCTATATTAAATTTTATAACTTTATGTGGTGGTGGTGGTTTTACAGATGAAGATACAGTTATTGGAAAAACACTTGATGAAATGATATCATTATTTAATATAAAATTATTTAGTCGACATGCAGCTATAGTTGATTTTAAAAAATTATTTCTTTGTCAACGAGCACATTTAAAACGTGAATATCAAACATCAACTGAAAGTCATCAACGTATTATTGAAGAACTTCGTCAAAAAGTTCTTTATTATTATCCAGAAAAAAAAAATTCTATTAGTTCAATACAATTACAAAACGATTATCTTGTAAAAATTATAAATATGATTGATTTTCGTATTATTTTACTTGATGAATTATTTACAAATAATTTATATGAATATTTATGGAAAGATCCAGAAATAAAAAAAGATTTTATTGATAATATTGAACAATTTAAATTTGTTATTAAACAAACATTAAATAATTTTAATCAGATTCATTTTATACATGATGATGTAAAAAAATTTATTAAAGAATATCAACCAAATAAAATTACAAATAAACAAATATTTCGTATATGGAGATTAGTTTTATGTGGTTGTTTACAAGGACCACCTGTTCATGAAATAGCAACATTTTTTGGTTCGGATATTGTACGAAAACGATTTGAAAATGCTCTTCTTGTATTAGATCAACAAAATGAAAATGTTCAAGTGAAGTTGTGATTCGATTTTTCTTTTCTAGTTTAAATAAAACGACATGTTTTTTGAAATCTTCATTTTTATCTCTAGTTGTTGAATATTATTCACCTTCCTTTTTTGAGATATTTGCTTTTTCAATGAGCTCCACGATACAATTGCAAGAGAGTGAAACACACGAAAATATTTATCCATCATCATCAGATGATGATAAACAACACATACTTGTAAGAACTTTCAAACGAATGAAAAATTATTAAAGATTTTAAAATTGATTTAGCAATCACGTTCATTATCATTATCATCGTCTTCTTCTGAACATCATGATCCTATCAAAGAAATATTATCAAATCGTCGAAATATTATTTTTGATAAAGCACTTGGTCAAATGTTAACACGACATTTTTATTTGATTCAACATGAATTTTCATTCTCAGATCAGTTTGAAGGTTGGATTTATACATATAATCGTCATCGATATAAAATCATAATTAGTTATCGTTCATCATGTTCATGTAAAAAATTCCAACAAAATAATGTTTGTAAACACTTTCTCTTTGTACTCAAACGTATTTTTAATGTTGATCTTAATTCATTTGATCTTCGTCTTTCAATTATGGAATATCGTCGATTTACTAATATTGATTTAGAATATATTTTTCAAGGACAAAGTCGACGACTTTGTCCGATTGTTCCACCATTATCACAATTAAATAAAAAAAAACAACTACCTTTAACGTTTAAACGTCAGTCAATTGATTATAATGATGTTTGTCCAATCTGTTTTGAATGCTTACTTATGAAAGATAGAAGATTAGTAACATGTTTTTATTCATGTGGTAAATCAATGCATGAAAATTGTATGAATGAATGGAAACATGTTAAAGGAAAATCAACAAATTGTCCACTTTGTCAAGCTCATTGGATAAATGCATCAACAGCGGGAAAAGCTGTAATCGATTATTATACATGTCGTTCTTATCCAATTGAGAAACATGAAAAATATATTTTTTGTTGCTTATACACTCCACCTGATTGTTTCTAGTTATTTGTCATAGTCTATATCTATCATAGTATTTAGTTCAGATATTGTTAAGTCTGATATGATTTTTATTTTATATTTACTTTTCATTCACATGGAAAGATATCATGTACTGGTTCATTTTGAATAAACAACATGTCTTACTAATTGAAAGTTCATTGGTATTGCATACATATTCAATCTTTTCTTTTTTTTTTTTCTAATAAAATAAATAGACAAAAAGAACAACATATGCAGAGATTTATTAAAAATTACTTTAGTGAGTATAGCAAATAATTTTAAATGAAAAAAGTTTCCTGATAAAATTCATCAATAGTACAATTATAATTTTAATCTTCCTTATTTACATCAGAAATAAATAAATCTTTATTCAATGCAGAAATATTGAAAGAAGTGTTTGATTTTGTATACAAAGTTTCCAATAATTGTACGAAGGAATTTCGACATACGATTTGAAAAGGATTTTGTAATTATCATTGGATTTTATTGAACAAGTGATGATGGTAATGAGGAGGAGATATTTATGAATGGTTCATCATGCTTATGATAATACTGATCCAGCAAATAAAGAAAATGCCATTAAATTGGATAAGAAAAAATAAAACACGAAATTTAACTCTTAATCCATCAAGATATTACTTGAGCAAATGAAAGCGAACGATATTCGAATCATTCATACGAAGCAATATCAGCCAATGCTTCTATGGTTCGTAACTATCGAAGTTCTTTATCATTCAATAATTTCTCAACAAACTCGTCAAGATGTATTGCCACAAATGATCAAGGTTATTTGTTTTCTGTTAACTCAACAAAACACAACTGCACTACGATTATTTATTCTTTTGCAAGATAATTTTTGCGTTACATTCAATAGGTCATCTGAATATTTATATCTCTGTTCAATGTGACATTATTCGAAGTACCAATGTTAATCAAGCAGGTTGTTTTATTATTCAATAAAATAAATGAAAACAAAAATACAATTCATAGGCTTCACAACATTGTAAGCTCCACCCACGGTACACATAGATTTAAGGCAAACAAAACTGTTTCATGAAAAAAATAACTTCGATAATGATACTATATTGGATGCATTTTATTCTATTAATTTAACAGCAACGTCAATCAATCAAACATAGAATCTATCATCAATAAGCTATCACGATAAATTTAAAGTAACTACAATTAGTCCAAAAAGTATTTGAACAACTAAGACCATATTTCCACCTTTTCTCAAAATCTGCTTTAGTCAAGGAGCAGGCAAATCACATGAAATTTTCAGGATATATTGAATCTCTGATGAAGAGACTATGGTAAACTTTTCAACCTTATATACTGACCATCGAGAGAAATATTCACCAAACAGAAGTCAAAAAAGGTCATTTGGCAATTGACAATTCTCTCTAGACCTCAATTCTATATAAAGAATTAGTTTGAGTGTAACAGCTACACGTTAGCAATGTGAGGGTGCACATGCTGTCAGATTCTTTTGAGGATGTTTTGTATTTTTGAGAGACTAACTTTGAAATATCGACGCAGGATGATAACGTACGCATTGTCGTTGGCAATTTATCTAGACACAATAATCAAGTATTGAAATTTTAAGCGTACGGTTTCCTATGTCATTAACGACCTCATTTGAGCTTTCAATGGTGTGGGTGTCAAGTGTGGGTTGAGTTTCCCCTTCATTCACATCTACACCCTGCAAAACAATCTCCAATATAAATTCATATTTTGAGAGATGGCCTTGACACAATATAGAAATTCCCATTAAAATCCTGATTGTAATAGGATCCTACTGACTGACAAGAAAGGTATGAATGATGGAAATTTTTAACCAGCTTAGGGTGTGGATGTGAGTGTGAAAAAAAAGAAATGACTCAACCCACACCTCAAAGCTTAAAGAGATGCAATGAATCATACAAGAAAACAGAGTAGAGTAATCATGTGTTCACTACTTTGAACCTTTTGCTTTCAGTACAACATGTCTACAATAGATCAAAATATTGACTAGCGTATTTCATTATACTCATGGTTACTATATCCTTTGATGAGTTGCAAATAACTTGGTTTATGTGATTAAACCATAAAGAAAAACATGATTCGATGTATTCATTCCTATTCTTACCATATTATTTTTGAATACTTTAATTCCTTTTTGAGATAGTTATTTTCTTTTTATTGAGCTCAGTGATCCAATTATCAGAAAGTGAAACACACGAAAATATCTATCGATCTTCATCGGATGATGATAAACAACATATACTTGTAAGAACTTTCAGATGAATCTATAAGAGTTATTGATATAAAATCCTAATTAATTATCATTCATCATGTTCACATAAAAAAGGTGCCTATAAGATTCGCAGTGATTTTGATTCCATACAAGGATATGTCTATGTTTATAGAGAAGACCCCCTTTATCTAATACCAAGTGCACTATCAAGTTATATATTGTGTAACATTGAGCTATCAGTAGAGGGCACTCCTTTTTTAGTAGCTACCGTAGAACACGAGGAAATTAACGCCCTCTGTTTTTATATCAAAGGTACGTAATACAATTTGATGATACATAAACCATTGAATACAGGAAGTCTTCCTCTACAAACATATACGCTTTTATACACTTTCTGTTTATACTAAAATGTATTTTTTACTGTTAATCCTTTGTTCTTTTGATCTTCGTCGTTCAATTATTGAATATCGTAGATTTACTAATATTGATGTAGAACATACTTTTTAAGTAGAAAGTTGTTAACTTTATTTGATTTTTCTACTATAATTGCAATTAAATAGAAAAACAACTAGCTTTAACATTTAAACATCAGTAAATTGATTATAATGATGTTTCTCTAATCTGTTTTGAATACTTACTTATGAAAGATAGAAGATTACTGACATGTTTTTATTCATGTGGTAAATCAATGCATGAAAATTGTATGAATGAATGAAAATATGTTAAAGAAAAATCAACAAATTGTCCACTTTGTCAAAGCCCATAAGATAAATGCATCAGCAGAGAAAAAGTCGTACTCGATTATTATACAATTCACCAGATATTTTCCAGTTTGATATGATTTATATTTTCATTTAAGATTTTCTTCTTATTCAGTTTGAAAGATATCGTGTACTGGTTCAGTTTGAATGAACAACATGCCTTACTATATGAACTTTTGTATTAATTGACGGTTCATTGATATTACGCACTTATGCAATCTTTTGTTGCTTTTCTAATAAAAGAAATAGACAAAAGAATAGTATATTAGAAGAATTTTTAAAATTATTTTAGATGAGTGCAACAAATAATTTTAAAAGAAAAACATTTGCTGGTCAAAATTCATCAACAACACAATCGAATGGCACACAAATGAAACGTCCAAAACGGTATAATAATCTTAATATATTCTAGTTGAATAAAAAAAAAAGAAATCTTTATTCAATTTTGAAATATCGGAAAGGAGATTTAATTTTGTAAAACAAAAAGTTTAAAATAATTACACAAATGAATTTCGAGATATTGGCTAACAAGAGTTTTATAATTATTATTGAATTTTCTAGAGCAAATGATGATGATGAGGAGGACTTTATGAATGATGATCCTGCTTATGATGATGCTGATCCAGAAAACAAAGAAAATGCTGTTGAACTCGGTAAGTTAAATTATTGATGTTATTTTTTATACACAATGTTTTCCATTTTCATATGACAGGACAAGGTCCAGCTTATGAAGCAACTAATATCAAATGGTCACGACCAGATATTCCATCGATAAATCCTTCGACAGATACACTTGTATTTCAACAAATTGATTTAGATACTTATACAGATTTCGATAGTACACCACATGTTCTTGATAAAAGTCGACCTCATGTTCGTGGTCATAATACAGTTATACGTCTTTATGGTGTTACTGATGAAGGTTATTCAGTTATGGCACATTTACATGGTTATATTCCATATTTTTATGCATCAGTACCATCAGATACATTTACAGCAGCTGACTGTGAACGATTTAAAGTAGAATTTTATTTTATTTTTGAAAATAAAAATGTTTTTTTTTCATGTAAATTAGCAAAATTTTCAATCAGCATTACGTAGTGAAATGCGTGGTAAAGATGCTATTGCATCTGATCTAGTACTTAGTGTTGAATTAGAACAAAAAGCAAGTATATATGGTTTTCAACCAGATTCAAAACGACATCAAGTACTTAAAATAAGTGTATTATTACCAAAATGTATTGCAACATCAAGACGTATTCTTGAAAATGGTTTTTCATGGACTGGAAGTAAATCACAAATTGATGGTTATAAAACTTATGAAACTAATATTGATTTTGAAATTCGGTATTAATTATTTGTAAATAGTAAATAAAAATTCATATTTAAATTATGTTTTCTTATTTACTTAAGTCTTATGGCTGATTTAAATATTGTTGGTTGTAATTGGATCGAAATTCCAGCTGGAAAATATTTTATACGACACATGGTAACACGTGGTTTAACTCAGCAATTAAAAATACAATCAAGGTTTAAAGAAAAAATAAAAATATTAAATCTATTAATTATGTTCATTTCGTTTTTTCTTTAATGTATAGATGTCAAATTGAATTAGATGTATGGGCACATGATATTATTTCGTATCCAGCTGAAGGTGATTGGCAACGTATTGCTCCATTACGTATAATGAGTTATGATATTGAATGTGCTGGACGAAAAGGTTTAAAGTCAAAAAACTGATAATTAAAAATGAATTTGAAAATTATTTATTTATTTTTTTTTTTAGGTATTTTTCCAGAGCCTGAGCATGATCCAGTTATTCAAATAGCTAGTATGATTATTCGTCAAGGTGATAAAGAAGAATTTATTAAAACTGTATTTACATTGGGTACATGCGCAAATATTGCTGGTGTTGAAGTTATGGCATGTAAAACTGAACATGAATTACTTGAAGTTTGAATGAAAAAAAAACAAACTATTTTAAATATTTATTTGTATATATTCTTATTTAGAAATGGGCTGATTTTGTACGTGAAGTTGATCCAGATATTATTACTGGGTATAATATACAAAATTTTGATTTTGCATATCTTCTTGCTCGTGCTAAACATCTTAATATTTCAACATTTCCTTATTTGGGTCGTTTAAAAGTATAAAAGGACTTATTTTTTATTATTATAGATAATTCAAACATGAAAAAAAGTATTGATATTCATGTAGGATGTAAAAACAACAGCACGTACAACAGTCCTTCAATCGAAGCAATTAGGACGACGTGAAAATAAACAAATTAATCTAGAAGGACGAATTTTATTTGATCTTTTATTGGTAAATACTTTTGCTGTTGTTATTATTTAGCATTTTTTATTATTGTAACCTATGAAAAACAAAACCGATATGAATTACAGATGCAACCGATGACGTTACACCGCTCAGTGGGCACACCCAGGAGTGTCCTGAGATCGAGAGAATCACGGAGAAAGGGCGTCGATGGCTCATGAAGCTGATTGGACGATGTTTGATAAAATTGGTTAGATTCAGGAAGGAAGTGTCGAGCGTTTTTTCAAAAATTGATGAGCCAAAAACGCAAATAAAACATTGAGACTTTGCTGGAGAAAAATGAATGTTTCTTAAGAGTAGGTATTTCCCGATCTCGACTACAGGGACAACTTTGGTATTGATACACCATTCATCGATGACAGTCATATACCGGTGTAAAGATGTACGCATAGACTAACGGTAAAGACGACGAACGAATGGTAAAATTATGGTGGCCTTGGGTTGATTTTTGATTCTTTCGTTTGAGGTGACCTTCTCAAGAAAACAGATAAATTTTATAATAAAATGCTAAAATTTTTCGAAGTCGAGGGATCCAAATCGATCTGAGGTTTATCAAAATTCTTGCGTTCGATTTTCTTGTTCGAGAAAGGGTTACTTCGTTTGATTTAGTCATGCTTTATAAAATTTAGGTATTTTCATGAAATAAATCTCTCTCTCCCGATCAACAAAGTCGAAATGAATCTAAGATCATCATAATTTTATACGCACATGTCTAGACTAGTGTAGCGCTCTACTTAAGACCGGTAATCACCGTCACTGTTGCATTCTTAATATGGATCATAATATTAAACTTATAATAGAATTTCAACCGAATCAATAATCAGTGAATATAGACTTTTCTCATGTTTAGGTTCTTCTTCGTGAATATAAACTTCGTTCATATACACTTAATGCTGTTAGTTTTCATTTTCTTCAACAACAAAAGGAAGATGTACAACATTCAATAATAACTGATTTACAAGTAAACCTTTGCTTTTCTTTTTTTTTGTTTTGAATATTTCAGGTTTTTTTTAATATTTTTGAATAGAATGGTAATGCTCAAACACGTCATCGTCTTGCTGTCTATTGTCTTAAAGATGCTTATTTACCATTACGTTTATTAGAAAAATTAATGTCATTGATTAATTATATGGAAATGGCTCGTGTTACTGGTGTACCAATGAATTATTTACTTCAACGTGGTCAACAAATAAAAGTTATTTCACAAATTTTACGAAAATGTAAAGAAAAAAATTTACTGATACCAGCATTAAAAGTTAATGAAGCAGGTGATGATTTTACTGGTGCTACAGTTATTGAACCAATACGTGGTTATTATGATACACCAATAACAACGTTAGATTTTTCATCACTGTATCCATCAATTATGCAAGCACATAATTTATGTTATTCAACATTAATTAATGATGGTAGAATAAAACAAACGTAAGTTTTCTGTTTGTTTTTTATTTAAATATAAATATAATAAGAATGAATAGACTGTATAAAAGTTCTATTGTAATATTTTCTCAAATAATTTTATAGTCATTTTGTTTCTTTTTCTAGTCTATCTGATGATGAATATATCACAACACCGAGTGGTAATTGTTTCGTAACAGCTAAAGTTCGTCGTGGATTATTACCTGAAATTCTTGAAAATTTGCTTAGTGATCTTAAAACAGCAAAACAGGTA